AATCAATAAGAACTATTTCCTTTTAATAATAAAAAAATAACAAACATATATTTAATATCGATAACGGAAACAATTACAAGAATCTATTCAAGTACGCAATTCTCCGCGGTTACAATAATTCGTCCCGGTGCGAATATGAGCTTGTTATAAGCGAAAGTTATCGAGTCGCGTAGCATAAAACAATACAAGGAATGGGAACAGGCGATTATCGCAAAAGCGAGATTATTACAAATTCGTCAGTCGATTAAAGTTTACAGCAATAATAGCGGCTTTCCGCCAGACGTCGTACAATGATTTTTTCTACGCTACACGAAATGTGACTTAAACGCGGCGTACAATCCAAGATGATGAGTTAACATACAATTCTCTGACGGGACACAACAACTTCGTGGTGGCGAGAGGACGGCAAACTTTACACGAACTGAATAAAAATCTATGGGACTCGAGCGAACGGCAAGCGACAGCTAAAAGATTAATTACTCGCGGTAGCCTCCGGTACGAGCCGCAGCCTTTCGGCTGAAATTCGGCACGTGCTATTCGCTCGAGATCTCGTTGTCGGGGATTGGCGGCCTTGCAGAATTTCTATGCTTGTCTCATGGGTGACTCCTCTTTCATGTCCTTCCGTTAGCTCCTTTCGACTCTCTCCAAGCTACGGTAGCTCTCTTCACGGATGCTCTCGGTGTTGTGGATCCTGCGTTCTCTCATAATTGCCCACGTCTCGTGCCACCATGCGTGTGATTTTGGCGAGCTTCGGCAGGGGATGCACAAGACGCGCTGCTTATTGGGAGCGAGGCTTCCCGGCGCTTGATTGGCCGATAGCGGCGCCATGCGACTCCGCCATCGGAGCCTTTTCGGTGACGGTCTTCCTCGGCGGTCCTCTTCGACGGTTTTTTTCTTTGCTGGCAACCGGATGAGACAGCTTCGACACAATCAACGCACACGGCTACTGATCTTAGCAACGATTCTCGCAAAAAAATAATGCAAACAAAAACAAAAAAATACAGACGAAAATAAATAAAAATAAATTTGAGGTGCCTGAACGGTAGCGCCCGCACGCCTGTTGCCCGCCCTCACGAGTCGGGAGAACCCAGGATCCACTCGGTTTATCCGCGACAAAGTGACGGACGAAAAACGTCACGATACATAAAATTTTGTGGAATTTAACTTGGCGCCAGTTATTGATATAAAATCTTTTATATGAATAATACATTTTAAGTAAATAACGGAGATAGACTTGGGTCTTATTTTTTAATTTAATAGAATTTAAATTAAAAATCTCTCTCGATTCGTCACTACTAGCATTTGGGTTTTAATTTTTCATTTAATACATTAGTTTTCTTCAAGAAGTAATTTTTGACAGTGAATTAAAGCTATCATTATTTGGGTTGGAATAAGAAGACCTTCAATAAAAATATCCTTGAAGAATAACTAAAAACTATCATTATTTGGATAAATACCGACAATAGGGGATCCATATGTTGTCAAAGTCATGGCTCTGAGTACCTTCCAAAAGGAATACACTAATTCTATAATATAAAATTGGGTCCTGGTGAAATCAAATGGTTTTCTTATATGTTATAGCATATAACCTATAACAAAACATATAAGTTTTAGCGGAAAAAAATGAACAGTTTTCGTATCATTTAAACTCGCTGACATATCTCATTATAAAATATTCAATAGTTTCTAAACGATTGACCTAAAATAGATGAAATTATAGTGTTTTGAAAAGGTCTATAAGGATTATAAGATAACAAGGACTATAAGAAAATGAAAGAAAAAATGGAGGATCTCACTTAAAAAATCCGAGACTTTGTTCTACCTTAGCGACGCCACACAAAATCAAACTGATGAAGTTATCGGCTATATATAGGACTTTTTAGATTCTAAAACTTTTATCTAAAACATTTTTTTATAAAACTCATAGTTTTTTAGTTTTTAGTTTTAAAACTTACAGTTTTTTTTGCCGTCTCGGAACATTTTATGTTCCTTATACGATTATATATGGTGCTATATATAATTATATCCCACATATAATTACATACAATCATGTATAACCAAGATATATATATTTATAAAACAATACTTTGTTACAGAATACGTAGTGTAATTACGTAATCCAGGATCAAAGACATGAACGTGGTAGGGATCTGGCCCCGTGTGCGTGCGTGCGTGCGTGCGTGCGTGCGTGTGTATGCGGTATACAATTAAATTACTTAATAAAAAATTAATTGTTTCTTAATTATTTATTAAATTATTTTCATCATTATGTAATTATCAGATCCTGGTAATTACATTATATATTCTGTAACAAAGTATCGTTTTATACATGTGTACATATCTTGGACATTATACATCCTCCTCCATCCATAATCCTCCAAAAGAATGTGGTAACTTCTATCATATGCCTGTGGTGTACATGCTGATTGTACACAATCATAAGGGATCTATAATTTAATATCGATTCCGAATGACGATTTTGTTTATATTATAGAAGTGCACATGGTAAGGATACTCTCGGTGGTTTACTATTGCCTGCCGAGAAGAGCTACAAACGTACGAAAATTTTTCGATTCTGCCTGTGATCGAACCCGGGACGTGTGTGAAATTGACCCCGCACTTTTCGAATTTTGAATTTTCCTTGATTGTGCTACGTTTGTGCCACATTGTGCCGCAAACCGCAACTCAATGACATGAAGTGTTTTCCAAAAAAAAATTGTATGCTGGCCTTAGGAATTTTTAGGAATGTGAAACTGAAAACCCGTTGTGAACAGTGCAAGATAATCGAATTCTGCGAGTTATGCCGAGTTGTGCTACTCAAAATCTACACGAAATGTTCATAAAAGGTCTGGAATGAAGAGACGATAAAAATTGTCAAAAACGTGGTGAGGGAAAACAAAAAATTTGATATTTTTTCAGTTGTGCTGAATTGTGCTACAACAATACAATAACTTTTCCTTGTGGCAAAATTTTCTAAGATCAACGGATTTCGCGGTTATTATCGACGAAGTTATGTGTCAGCCGTTAGGAATTTTTAGGAACGGAAAACTCAAAACCCGTGTATCTTGCGAACGGTGCAAGATAATCGAATTCTGCGAGTTGTGTCGAGTTGTGCTATTCAAAATTTACTAGATATGTTCATAAACAAAACAGAGATTAATTGAATGGTTCATAAAAATTTTCGAAAATTTGGAATGTGATTGTGAATAAAAAGTTGAATTTTTGAATTTTTTTAGATGTATCGGCTTATTCATCACAACTTTTTTTATGGAAAATTGTCGTTAGACAATTATTGTAGTACTGATAATTGTAGGAGCGTAAGTGTTAAGAAATCAGAAAAAATTTCGCAATCACTCTTCCTTCATTAAAAAGTTATTAATAAAAGAAGTTTGAAAAATGATGTCTCTTTCCTATTATATTAAACAGAAATTTTCTGTTTCGAAATACATTTTACGACTTTCCACGTGAAGCGACTCTCATCCCACTTCCCCTCCCTGCTTAGGGACGCACGATTTCCACATCAAGCGAAGTCATGACCCTGAGTGGTTTGCAACAGGACTTTGAAAGTCATCATATGTCAAAGTTAAGATCGTCGAAGCTGGATCCCTATTATCGATATTTATTATTATTTGTGTTGGACACTTAGAATTTATTCGAGAAGCACATATATTTTTATTAAGAACACTTAAGAGAGCATTGCTTTTAATTTTTCTTTTTTTTCAGAAAAAACCGGTAGAAATCCATTTTCCTCGATTTTATTTATCCAGAATATTAAGACCTACATAATGTTTGTGTGGAGTTCTTTATATCATGTTGTTTGTCACACATCTCTTTAAAACATGATATTCGCTTAGTAATTATTGGTTATTGCGACAAGTATTGTCATAATATCTAATTGATATGAACGTTCTCGTTCCGGAAAGTCGGAATTTCAGGTTTAAACACTGGATGAAATATTTTTCGTAATAAAATTATTTGCATATATAAGTTCTCATTAACATGTAATTGTGTTAATATTCTTATAAAAATGTTCATTTGCATAAAAAATTATTAAATTGCTTGTTAATTTAATAGGTGATATTACTCCTCTGGTTCTGCTCAGAATTGTTGTTACAAGATTAAAAAAAAGATTTCGGCACGCAAATTGTAATCAGATATGTATATAAATTTACGCAGAAATATTTGTCCAAGCAAATATTTGTCCATTGAGCAAACAGATTATTGTAATATTAAAATGATATCAAAATGATACCAAAGTAACATTTTAGAGTCATTTTGACGTCATTTTAAAGTCATTTTAATGTCACTTGTTATTTTGTTTTGGTAAGCATTGAAATTTACTGTGATCGAATACAAAAGTCCTAAATATGTGAAATACCACTTGACGGTCAAAGTTAGATATTCAACTGATATATGTATTCTTTTAAAATGAATTTATTTTAAAAATGATTGCGCTCCGTTACTGTCGGATTTTGAACAAAATTTATCTGAATGTTATATAATAATTCTCCCAAATTTAATTATAATACATTCATTTTCACTTTATTTAGATGATGTACTCACATAAATGGTCTTATTTCCAATCTTATTTTTGTTTATATATATTCGCCTTTTATTGCGTAACTCTCTATATGTATTGAATATTACTAAGGCCTCAAGGACATTCGCATTGAATGCTAGAAATTGTGGTTCGACTCACAGCCGTGTTTTTCGCAATTTTTTTACAGATTTTTTAAAGATGTATATAATTAAATTTTGGGGAAATCATTATAATATTTCAGACGGATTATGTTGAAAATCCGATAATAATGCGCGCGCTGTCAAATTTCTGAAATAAAAAAAAATATGTGTGTAGGTATTAGTTTAATATTATTTTTGACCGTCAAGTGCTTCTCGTAGGTAATGTACTCACATATAAACGGTATTATTTTCACACTTATTAAAATTCTTTTAATTTAATTAGATTTATTAATTAAAAAAAACTTGTTTCTATTATTTAGGTTGATATTCGCTTACCGGATATACAGATTTCCACAGAAACATGGGTTACCTTGATCGAACAATTCTTAATGCTAATTTTGATAATCGGCCGATGGATGTTGCCGAAAGGTGACTTGACTCGAGATCAGTTAAGCCAGCTGTTGTTAGTCTACATTGGTACTGCAGCTGATATTATCGAATTCTTTGATTCCTTCAAGGAAGACAGGATAGCAAGAGAACCTGTACTGGTATACTTGACATTAGGCATTTGGGCATGGTCTCTTACGCAGTTCACAGTTGTCCTGACTGCCACCAAGTCTAGGAAATCTCGATTGTCGTCCGGCAGCGTTATCAGGAAAAAAGTCCGAACGGAAACCAGCTGCTGCAGTATTGATGTATGGGGAATCGCTCTGAACATGATTCTTCAAGTATGTATTAATAAATAACATAAAATACATCTAAAATAATCAGAGATATTTGCACATTTCTTTTGTCTTTTATTACGTCGTTTGAATCATTTACATAAAGCACGTTCAGCCATATATAAAGTACCATAGAAATTATTTGAAATTATAAAACATTGTTTTAAAATATCAATTATTTTTCTAAACATATTTTTATTTACAACTTTGATAACTCTGGAACATCGTTTCGCCATGCGAATAATTATTTCCGATTTATTTTTGTCTGCCGAATACGAATTCGTAGACAAAGTTGGCTATCACGTCACAATTTTAAGAAAAATGACATCAAAGAGGGAAAAATTATAATCCCCTTTGACATCCTTTTTCTGAAAATTGTGATGTGATAGCCAAATTTTGCCAACGGATTTGCATGATGAAAGGGATAACATGGTATGTGCAGTTGGACAGTGCCTCCCTCCCTCCCTCCCCCTTTCTCTCCCTCCCCCTCTCCCTCCCTCTCCCTTCTCTCTCTCTCTCTCTCTCTCTAAATTTCTGCCCTCTCCAACTAGGACTGTTCATAACGAAGCTATCAATCGCTAAACATGGGACGGTATATTCATAGTCCATTTTTATTTTAAAACTTTTTTAAATATAATGTCTTAAGATACTAATATAGTTCTTAGATTGATTTATGATATCTTAAAACTGTACTTAGGACAGTCTTAAATGCAAGAATCGATTATGAATGCCGGCCTGTTTTGTGTCGTGAGATTGATACTGAATCTTGAAACTACCTAACTTTTATTGCACGGAATAGCTCGCCGGGATGCAAGACGGAAGATGTTAGAATCGGTGAAAGAGAACATGTATAATACTAGTTCTCAAGTAGAATAATAATACAGATCTTTATTACACGCAATTAAAAACTATAATACAATAATGTTAAATGAATATATATACAATCAGAACATTTGTGCGTCGGTGAGAATGCAGTGAATAGGCGGGGTTTTGCGCGGATTATAAATAGTGCCGAAGCACGATCGGAAAACGCCCGCGTGCGATTACGATGAATGTGGATGCGCGGAGCCGGTACACGCCGGTACGTCACGCGTCGACAGTTAAGAACTCTCGACTTCCTATTGTCGGTCGCAAGAGATGCAAGGAAACGGAGCTTCGCTTTTCGACTACTGGAAACAACCAATAGAGCATGCTCTATCCTTTAGTTTTTATTTAGGCAGAAACAGTCGGAACCGGTCGGAAGACATATCGAGAATGCTCGATGGAGGCGAGGTACGCCTTACTCCCACATGTTTCGGAGTGGCGCACAGTGGTTTGATCGCAATTCATAACAATTTTTTGTTAATCATTCTATATATCATTAATTATTAATATAAATGATTTGTAAGAACTATTATTAATCTATTAAGGATCAAGACAAATTTTTTTTCTCAAAATTTAAAATCCTTTTAATGACAAGCTACTATGAGCTGCTATTACTCTTAAGGAGTTTCAAAAATTTTTACCCTGGGATTAGTCGTTTAGGCAGGGGGGAGAGGATGGTCGATTTTGCGACCATTGGTCCGAAGCGATATAAAAAAAATGTGAATAACAAAAAATAATTTTTTAAAATAAAACGCCGTAATTTTTGAATGTAAACAAAAATTTAGAAAATTTTATTGAATTTGACGTAAGAGTATAATAATTTTACTTATGTGGGCCGTACAAATTAAAGCAATTAACATACAAATGAATATTACAACGGCGGCAAGTTTGAATGGTGTGTTTGTGGCAATGTTTGCAAGGACGAAATATACTATTGACAGCACGCTGGATCAAATGATTCCATTCATTTAAGCGTTTCAATATAAAAGAGTTATTGCTACCATCAAAGTCAACCAAAGTATTTTCTTCTTCTGATGCCTTGAATTGTCGAGTTACAGCGCAGCGAAATTCTAGCTATGGTATAGGCTTTTGTCTTTTGCCACAACACAGTGTAACTTCCACGCATTCACGATCGCTATGTTGAGAGTATGCACAAATAATGATTATTATCATTTTTTCCACGAATATTTGGTCGTGGTTGATTCATTTTTACAATTAAAATATAGGCAGCGTAGATTTACACGATAATTGGCACAAGCATTATATGTTTCAAAGAGACTGCAGATTTTTTCTTTCGATCATATCGTCTAGTAGATTTCAGCGGCTTAATTTTGTCGTAGCTGATAGCAAGTGTCAGAATTATCTAACAAAAAGATCTCATTTGTTTTATCAAATCGCTAGTCGTGATCGCCTCGTTTCATTCGTTCAGAATCCTTCAAATTGGTACCAGTAATTGATTCTTTCGAATTGTTCCACATGTATAAAATTTGCAGGCACATCAAATAATACAGAATGAAGAAATTGTCGAAAAATATGCAATAATTCTGAGGTGTTTCCACATTGGGCAACAGCTCCAATACAACTTGAGCGCCAATAGCTTTATTGTGCTATCGGATGCTCCACTGTATGGAATTGAAGTATATAAATAGCCCCCTCACAAGGACCAGAACTTGAAACCGAACCGAATTGGTTTTCCGCAAATAAATATCTTATATGAATGGCGATCAAAATGTGATACCATTTGTTCGTCAAGAGGTTTTTTGAAAATATGCCAAATTGCTTATAGTGTCTATCCAGGATGCTCAATAAAGGACGCATTTTCGCAAATCGATCTTCTTTGTTAAGTTCATTATTGTTTGAAAAATGCAAATATCATTTCATCGTGAGAAATGCATTGCGTGATGTTTGCCTTAAGATTGAAAGACCTAAGTTCGGTTTCAAAGGACCGAATCAATACGATTTCACAGCAGGCAGTTGATGATAACTAGATAAAAGCAAAATTTCAAAGAACCACTTCAGTTTGACATCGAACAAATCGTCCTGAACATTATTCTGCTTTGCATAAATGTTATTAAAATCCGCGATCTGTCGCACAATCTCATCGTCAATGAAAAGTTTGAACAGTCGGTCCGGTATTTTATCTCCTGAAGGAAAAGAATAAAGTAAGAAAACGATCAATAGCAGTCACTTAATTTTTTTATTTCTAAAAATCTTTGCAAATATACATCTCAGTGAGAATTCAATATAAGAAAAAATATTAAATAATAGCCTTTATTTAATATTTTTTCTCATATTGAATTTTCACTGATGTGTATTTGCAAAGATTTTTAGAAATAAAAAAATTAAATGACTACTATTGATCGTTTAGTGATAATTATTGATCGTTTTCTTATTGTATATCAGTAGGTGAGAATTTAATGAATGAAAATTAATTTATTAATTTGCTCAATCAATTCTTCCATTGGAATGTCAGTAGGTTCATTGCTGTATACAATTTTCATGGTTTCATCCATTTAGCTGTGCCGAAGTTAACCAGTGAAGTACAGTCCCGAAAAATTAAGTTTGAGTTTGATTGAGACATTAAGCATTCTTTCTCTTCAACGTCGTCTTCGATGCAATTGATTTCGACTATTCCAGCAATCTCCGTGAATGCGCCAATATTTTCATCGTTTGTTGGAATAACTTTATCATCGATCACACACACAAGTCTTCATCACTCATTTCATCATTCGCTCGGGTAGAATGTAAATACAATAATATAATAATATTCTCGGGAATATTTTCATCATCGCTCCAGTTCTTGATGACGTCTTCAAGCTCTCGCATCGTTAAATATTGTCTTCGAGCCATTTTTTATACACAAAACAATGCAATATTAGAAATCCGAAATAAAGCACGCTACAAGCAACAACTAAAAAAATTAAAAAATTACTCACCGAATGCGTTTCACGTTGTTCACGCACGAAAGACAAAGCTCAAAATGAGAAATAAAAACAAAAAGGCATTCAGCATAATGTTTCGAACGTCGTTAACGTTTAAAACAGTATTATTATAATATTTATATGTTTTTGATGTCCTCACTTTGATATCCTTTGTTGTAAAAAATTCGACCACTCAACTTTGCGCGCACCTGGAAGATGCAAAAATAAAGATATCGACTTGAACTTTTCTTAAAAATTATTTATTTATACTTATCACATTTTCAAAATTATTTTTGTAAATCTTTCAAATTTTAACTCAAAGAAAGGTACAAAAAAATTGTTTTTTCCAGGTGCAAATCACATCTGGTTCTCATCTCAGTACATCTGAAAGCTGAATATATTTTGAAAGCAAAAAAAATATAGAAAATTAAAAAAAATATTTAAGTTGATATCTTTATTTTTGGTAGAAATCTAAAGAGATTTGGTTTCGTATCCCAAAGTTGATCTATTTTTTTGGTCGAAAAATCGACCAGGTCCTCAATGGATTAATAATACATAATAAATATCTAATAAAAGTGTAGTAATAGTTATATAGTAACAATTACATAAGGTACAAATATAAAATAATACAGCATACGTAAATTATTAATGTCAAAATTCACAAATTAATTTTCTATTTTTGATCCACTATTGGATTCATTTTTTAAAAATATTATTGGTTCTTTCAATAAAGGAAACACATCTTTACTTAAAGATTTGTTGTGATTTTGCTTTTTTCGTGATTTTACTGATATTATTTCGAATGATTATAGAATCCGAAGACAGAATTAAATAATTTAAGAAATCTTCGTCAAAATGCGTGATAATTTTTTAGTATGATATTTTTTGTCAAATCGAAAATCTTTATTTTTAACTTTTTGAGCCTCTTTACTTAATTCTCCAATTGATAGTATGGAGTGTTTAATAACTTCACCACCTTAATACTTTATGTACACTTGGTGGCATATAAAATCATGGATAACTATTTACAAATAATATGGCAATTTCTTTAGTATAAATATTAACTTTTCAATTTTATTGATGCTGTGTATATCCGCTTGACATAGTCTTTAATATTATTCCAAATCATTGAATCAATTCTTCATTTAAACCTATTATTCTTGGAGTAAGTTTTGGATTGCGGAAAAATATTCTTGCAGTATTTCCATCTTTAGTAATACC